TGATTTTAGTCAAACTTGGTATCTGTCTAACTTTTAATTACATATAGGTACCCGTTCACAGTTGTATAATTTCTAATATGTAGTTATAAAGTTGTTAGGTATATCTTAATACATTGCGCACGAGTACCAAGTTTATTAAAAACGGTACAGAAGTTTGCATGATTTTCGACTTAAATTAAATAGGTAATGTATAAAATGAATATGGATGGGAACTCGTGCCGTGCGCTCTTAAAACTGGATACCTGTGAATAAAGTTTTAGTCTAGAACTGGAGTAAATTATTTAGTAAATAATAATATAACCTTAAAATGTTATTTTACTCCGAAAAATCCGATATTTCTACACAGACAACGTAAGTACCTATATGTGAAACTGTTTTTATTAGATCTCGAATTATGCAGGTATCATATACTCAGAAATAAATGATTATTCTATTCTATTCTCAGACTGCAACTTTACTGCCAACGCGGTCAATATTGACCGACGCTAGCTGAGGATTTGCCTTCAACAGTTTTCGTCGGCAGTTAGACTTAAATAAACTTTATAGAATGGGCCTTCTCTTTTGCCCGCATTACGCCCCAATCACACGGGCGATTAGCTACCTAGCTATGTAATTTGAACTATGTTTTATTGGCACTTTTGTTTAACCATTTGTTACTATCCCCTGTTTTACTGTCCACCCTTCGTAATAATATTAGCTCTAGTCAATCGGTTGATGTTCCATCAAATCATTAAGAATATCTTTAGTGTGGGAGAGCCAAGCTTTGGCACGAATGGGTCGCGTGCGTTCGTGCAGCGGAATGTTGTCGAATTTAAAGATTTTAATTATGCAGATATTTAGTGTATGACGTCGTTTAATTGTGTATGGTAAAAAAAAATTTGTGCACGCAACCATTGTGGAGAAATTCACCAAAAACTGATTCCGCTGGGCGAACGTTGTCCTGGCGGAACTTTTTTTAATCCATAGACTTTAGAAGAAAAGAGATGTATCCAAAAATTTGTGTGTAATTGTGTATGTATGAATAAAACTAGTGCATGCATAAACTTCGGAGAAATTCAAGTTTCCGCTACGCGAACGTTTGGCCATTAGCTAGTTTTCATATAAAGCGCTTACATAGAGAGCTGTAGATTTTTACATACGTTGTTTTGAATTTGTGTATATTTGTTTAAAAAACAGATTTAGAAAAAATCGTAGGGTTTAAAAGATAAAAATATAAACGTAAAATACGCTTATTAGGTCTTAGCTCTTAAAGTATGCACTTTAGGGTCTAGATTTTCACGTTTATACAAACCTTGTAAGTGTCTGCAACATGTTGCCAAGTATCAATGATGTTCCGTTAGTAATTAAATAGTTATAGGACAAATTTACCATGAATAGATCACTGTTTACAAAGCAGTCAAATATCACGACGTTCTAAATGAATTGCATGGTAAAATGTATGCCAATAATTAGTGTATTCATTCAACTATTCACATGCAAAATTTCATGTCATTAAATTCAGTAATTAAAGAAAAACAATTATAATACTGACGAAGTATCGAAAACCTACATAACCCGACCAAGTTCGGATGGCTACAAAAAAGCGGCTGTTCAATATATTTAGGTAACATCCCAAAATTTACAGTATAATACCGGCATTGAATTGGTACAGGTGATAACACACTTGTTGTTTCGAAATAATTTATAGGTCATTTATTTTTGGACACCTACTTTTTTAAATGTATTTGACTATGACAGAAAGTAGGTACTATTTACGTAGGTACTTTATTTAAGTATGCGCTTGAGATTTGAGATATAATCTAATTATATATAAGACAAATAAAATTCATACAGCTAATTTCTATTGAAGATTTCACGGATCAGGATTCTAACTATAGACCCCTTAGGGAAATTAAATATTTACCACATGTAAGTACTTAAGTACTACTGTTTAGGTAAATATTTATCATATTGTAGCATATTACACTATTTAACCAATATTTTTTATTACACTATTTAACCAATAGAGGCATGCACGAGCGTGTGTACGATACTGTGTTTTATTTTTTCCTAACGCTTGTGTACGATAATGTACCATATTAATAAATGCTATATTGGAAAGTTAAGAACGTTTCTTAGATATATGGCACGGCCGCTTTTTTGTAGCCATCCGAACTTGGTCGGGTTATGTAGGTTTTCGATGCTTCGTCAGTATTATAATTGTTTTTCTTTAATTACTGAATTTAATGACATGAAATTTTGCATGTGAATAGTTGAATAAATACACTAATTATTGGCATACATTTTACCATGCAATTCATTTAGAACGTCGTGATATTTGACTGCTTTGTAAACAGTGATCTATTCATGGTAAATTTGTCCTATAACTATTTAATTACTAACGGAACATCAATGATACTTGGCAACATGTTGCAGACACTTACAAGGTTTGTATAAACGTGAAAATCTAGACCCTAAAGTGCATACTTTAAGAGCTAAGACCTAATAAGCGTATTTTACGTTTACATTTTTATCTTTTAAACCCTACGATTTTTTCTAAATCTGTTTTTTAAACAAATATACACAAATTCAAAACAACGTATGTAAAAATCTACAGCTCTCTATGTAAGCGCTTTATATGAAAACTAGCTAATGGCCAAACGTTCGCGTAGCGGAAACTTGAATTTCTCTGAAGTTTATGCATGCACTAGTTTTATTCATACATACACAATTACACACAAATACACACTAATTTTTGGATACATCTCTTTTCTTCTAAAGTCTATGGATTAAAAAAAGTTCCGCCAGGACAACGTTCGCCCAGCGGAATCAGTTTTTGGTGAATTTCTCCACAATGGTTGCGTGCACAAATTTTTTTTTACCATACACAGTTATACGACGTCATACACTAAATATCTGCATAATTAAAATCTTTAAATTCAACAACATTCCGCTGCACGAACGCACGCGAATGGGTCAGCTCGACCGGAGTGATACCACGGCCTCACAGAAAACTGGAGTGAAACAACGACAGCGTTGGGTTTTGCGGAATGAGCGAGGTTACCGAAGGCGCAATCTTTTCCCTTCAATCCCTAAATCACCAAACCCTAACAAGGTCGGCAACGCATTCGTAACTCCTATTTACGGGTATTCATGGGCGGCGCTGATTGCTTACCATCAGGTAATCCGCCTGCTCGTTTGATGACCTAAAACATAAAAAATATGGGTATTTACTTAGTTTTTTGGCTCAATTTAGGTACAGTCCAAAATAAATGGCGCGCTTTAAAAAAACAGTTGTTTTGTATATTTGTTTTTATTTTTTGTGTTACTGCATATTACCGGTTTTACAGTGCGATTTGGATAAAATATTTTTGCGTTTAAGTCAGTCTATAAGTATGTTGTTCTAACATACCGCCATATTAATTTTCGGAGTTGTTCCTTGCTACCCCGTGTCGTGATCAAATATCGTATTAGAAGCGGGACGAGGACAGGCACAGGCTACTGACCTTAGTAGCCCAGCTTATCTCAATTTTTTAATGAAAAGGGTTTTTTTAGTATTTTTGGATTATTGAGTTTAAAATTACCGTTATTTTTAAAAACACAGGTAGTTGATTAATTAAAAAAAGTTTTTTTTTTATTTCATTGGAAAAGTAAAACACTGTAGGAATAGGTACGAAAAACCTTTATTATTACCATACAAAAAAGTGTATTAAATAAAATTATGTACTAAATTAAACAAAATGCCGTCGACTTAATTAGTAGTAAAAAGGTAGTACTTAAAACAAATGCATGCATTGAGTTGCAATTTAAGAATTCAGATAAATTAATTAGTTTACAATTGACTACAGACAATCAACTAAAAGAATAATCAGTACATTTCTTATTATACATTTAAACTCGATACAATAGTTCCAAAAAAATTGAAGTTGTTTCCGATTCCTAAGATAAAAGTAGAAAAAAAAGTTAAGTAGGTACTGTTTTACGAAAGACTTGCAATGAGGATTAGTTTTGTGTTCACCAGATGGCGCTCATGTAGCGAGTGATTTCTTTAGCCTATCAGAGTAAATTCATATATTGAGTGTGTATGGCGTTAACACTAAAAAAATGGATAGTTTCCTAGGTGAAAACTAAATTAATTCGACGTTTCAATACAATAAAATATTGAAAATAACTATTCATACTTTTATTTATCGATCTGTCGGTACATTAAATTTTTAATATTTTTAAGCTAATTTTTAAGAATTAAGTAAGCCATTTGACGCAAAAATACTATGATATCGTAATTTGTAGTGTCAAACAAATTTCATAGAAAAGCATCGTTTTTGAAATTAGGATCAAAGTATTGAAATTTGACTAGTTTCAAAATTCAAACTACCGCATTCTTAGTAGACCTATGTTCCTTCTGGCGCCTCTAGCAGAAGATTGTGGTAAAAATAGTCCTTCTTACGAAATCCTAGTATTATACAATGTGTAACAGAATAAACTTGTATCAAAATATTCTTGTTTCTTTATTTTTATATAAATAGTTTATGGAAGGATACCAACAAGTCAGTCAACTCCTATCTGTCGAATCTCTTATATTAGAATTTCAACTGTATCATCCTACTAATCTATACTAATATTACAAAGAGGTAAAATTTATAAGTTTGTATGTAGGGGGTAATCTTTGGAACCGTTGGTCGGATTACCAAAATTGTTTCACTAATAGATAGCTGCAATGTTCCTGAATGCTATAGGCTATAAAACATCACGCTACGATCAAATGGAGAGTGCGAGAGTAGCTAGTATTATAATATTTAGATTCTGAAAATGTATACTTGTTATTCTTTCAAGCAAAAACTTATTTTTATTCTATTTTATTTTCGTCTATAGATGGACCTATTTGTTTGAAATTTGATAAGTAGATATGTGATACCCTGGATTAACACATAGGCTACATTCATCTTTAAAAAAAGGTAGTAGATATAAAATAAAAAATCATTTAACTTCCAATAGTACTTGAAGGCTTATTACATACACTCTGTATTGTCGATACATTTTTTATAGGTTTATTTTCATTACATATTTTTGTGTTGGTACTATAAGTTGAGGTGTTCCATGAACCAGTGGGCGCCGTTGATGAGGTTGTCCATCTCAGCCGCTGGAGACGACAGCGAGTGATTGTCTTCATACATGTAGATTCTAGAACAATATAGAAGTTTATTGAGAATTACTTTATTTTGTTTCTTTTATTGTGATAGTAAGTCGTTATTTAAGTTTAAAAAATATAGAACTTGTGTTGATTTATATAAACTTACACAAATACAATTAAAACGTAACATTAGTGATTTTAAGACTATTATGAGTACAATGAATGGGTGGTTTTGTTATCACGACAAGGCGATTTTTTTAAAGGAAATTTGGGTATGACTAAGTATGCAATAGTTACAGAAAATTATAAACTTTCTAATAATATGAGAAAAAAACAGTGGTTTAGACTTACTTTTCCATGCATGATAATATATGGATAAATATCGCAACCTCTTCGTATTTTCAAAACAAAATTAAATAAATATAAAGGAGTTCAACACAAAAAATATGACGTCACAACGCACAAGACTAATAAAACTGCTTTGACAAAATATAATTAAAACATATATTTTAAAACTTAGGTCCGATTTTTCAATGATCAGATAAAATTTATCAGGGGAATAATTATGATGCTGTCGCGTCAGAATGTTTGTATAAGACAGTGACGGCAACAATTTTATTCCTCAGATAACATTTATCTGACTATTGAAAAATCAGCCCTTAGTCACATCGATATTAACAAAAGTCTGGAAAAGGAATCTGTATGTGAAACTGATTTAAAAAGAGTAACCATGGAGTTTCTTGCTCGTTCTTCTCCATTGAAATCTACACTTTGGAACGAGCAAATAGGTTCACTAAGAGGACTGACCGACAGACTGACACTATATCTTCAAAATTTGTTTGACGTTCAAAAGTGCCTGTAAGGGTCTAATAAAAGAATAAATGATTTTTGACTTTTTGATATTCTTATGCTACCTTACCTGGTAGTAACTCCGTTAGCCTTCAATCTTCTAGCATACTCCAAGCCCTGGAAATGCGGCACCCGTTTGTCTCCGCTTCCAAGCATGAGGGCCGTGGGCGCTTTCACCTTATGCACGTGAGCTATGGGCGAGCATCGACGCATGGCCAGCAACTGTTCTTCAGACACGGGACCCTTCTCCGTAAACTCGAAACCAGCTTCTGCTGCGCACCTGAATGACGTCATAGATCATTGTTGGAGACTAACATTTGCTCACATCATCAGCCCACTGCTGAGCAAAGGCCTCTTCTCACACGAAAAGGTTTTGAGGATCAATCACCACGCTTACTCAAAGCGAATTGGATTTCAAACTTATAATTAGAAATTGTAATTCTGTTTTCCTTACTACGTTTTCCTACACCATATGTCAGTGGCGTCAAAATAATCATAGAAAGTATATATAACTCAAGAAAGTCATATTAGTACTTGACAGGTTTCGAAACTGCACTATCATGCATGAGCCACTACCACATTTTTTGCTACATAGCACTTGTTCAGAGCTTTACAAATTTCCAATGTCAAATAATATAACATACATTTTTATCTGCATGTATGTGTGTTATTCTTCTATGCCAAAACTGTTGAACAGATTAAAATAAAATTTAATATACAGCTAGAATTTTGTTTAGAATAACATAAAGTATTTTATCCTGAATTACATGCTGACTAACGGTTATAAATCATCATCTTCCTGCCCTTGTCCCGTTCTATTTGGGGCCGGCGCAATATATTTTTTTTCCATTCTGTCCTGTCACCCGTCACGCTATCGCTAACTCCTCTGTCTTCCATATCACTTCTTACACAATCCATCTATATTTTTTTTGGTCTCCCTCTCCTTCTCCATCCATCCACATTTATACTCATGGTTTTTTTTGTAACATGCGTTATAAATATATTACTTATATTCGCGGGCTGTTTAATATCGTTTCCTTGGCCATTTTTTGAAATTAAATGACTGACCTTAAAGTCTCTACTTAGGCTTTCTTCTCTACTACCATTAGAACCTTCTACTAAACTTTGTGTAAACTACTACTGATAGAAGTTTGTATTTTCGATTAAGATTATTTGTCACTGACCTAAATCTATTAAGATTTAAGCGTACATAGGGATATAGGGACAGAGAAAGCGAGGACAGGGAAAGCGATTTTGTTTTATACTAAGTAGTAATAAAGAAATTCAAACGGCAACTGAACGTTACAAACAAACCAAAATTATTACATAAAACAGATTAAGGCTTACCCATCCGAGTTGTCAGCGTAATGACCTTTAGTAGCCAGGTCTATTAGCGGGTTCCTCATTACCAGAGCCCTGAACCTATCAGGATATTTCCCAGCTAAGTGAGCCACCACCAACCCACCATAACTGCCTCCGTATAGGAACACATTCTTCTCACACAATCTGCTATCTCTTTCTAATAAAGTGTCTAGAGCGAGACAGCAATCTTGAACGTCGTAGTCGCCTACGTGAGCTAGGAGAGAGCGGACGTGTTTGTCCCCTTGTCCAATAGAACCTCGGTAGTTTATTCTGGCTGATGCAAAACCTAATCAAGAATGTTTTTTTTATTTCTAATCTTAACAAATATTCTTTTTAAATTCGATTAGACTCTGGACTAAAAAGGCAGATCTATTATTAAAATACTTAGGTATAGTACCTACTTTATTGTATTTATGCAAATTTCTAGGGCGGGGATGGGGCAGCTCCCATGAACTTATTTAACATAAGATATCTAATGACCAATATAGACAACATTTTTCCCTGACAATTCCGCGCGGAAAAAGGTATCTCTAGGTAATATAATTACGAAAAAATAAGAAAAATTAATGCATAAACTTAAATAGTTTTATTCTTCGACCATTCAGTTAGCGTTTGCCAGTAGGTACCTACATCACTAAAAAACACTACAACATGCCATGCATTACAACGCTTTTTCATATCATTATTTTTCCGATACTACTCTAGATAATGATAATATTTCTTTTTACGTCAAAATCTTATTGTTCAACAATTGGGTAGTTTCCTAGGTTAAAAATAAATTAATTCGATGTTTCAATACTATAAAATATTGAAAAATAACTTTACTTTTATTCATCGATCGATCGATACACCAAGTTTTAGATTTTTTTTAGCTAATTATTGTGAAATAAGTAAGCTATTTGACGCAAAAATGTTATGACGCCATAGCTCAGTTTCTCATACAAATTTTATAAAAAGTATCGTTTTTGACGTTTACATAAAAGTATTGAATTTGACTGGTTGGAAACTACCGCATTCTGATAAACACCACATTAAGCTAAAACTGTCAATATCTACACCCAATTTTCAACTTAAATCCAAATGGAGTAGAGTTGAAAATCGATCGAACCTTGAAAACATGGCTAGACCATGGGTCTAACTGTAAGGAACAAAAGAAATACCACTCACCAATCAGCTATATCTGTGGAATTGAACATACTCGCGACGTCAGTAACTGGATTCCTACTGACTACGGCGGCGTAAACATCTGGATACTGCCCACTAAGATGGGTGACCAAGAATCCCCCATGAGAGCCTCCCGTTAGACAGACCTTTTTGGGGTCAATTGGGAACGTTTTAAGCGCATAGTCTGTAGCAAGTTTGCAATCTTTGACATCTGCGTCCCCAACCCGTTTGAGTAGATAGTGCACAGAGTCCTGCCCCGCCCCCGTTGAACCGCGGTAATTCACTTGTAGGGATGCGAAACCTGAAATTTTTTGTTCAATCTGCCTTATTAGTCTTTCTGGGATCTTGGTAGCTTAGATAAAGAGGTCCTTATGCAGTCAAGGGCAAGTAGATATTTATAATTTATGGCATTTTTATTGAAAAATTGTAGATGCAAACATTTGTAGAGATTGCAATGATAAACAAAAACGAATTCACAGATTTCATCTCAGTTATTTTTTTTTATTATAGCAACATTTTCATTGTTAAGTACATTGGCCAGCTCATTAAAACTATTATAAATATTTTATGTCAATTTTCTTTAAGTATTTGTTTTACAACTGATTTGCTTTTATATAAAGCTGAAAATTAAATGAAAAAAAAAATACATATTGAGGCAAGTTGTACCTAGTCTTTTTTTTCGTTTAACATAAAACTTCAAAGTTGTTCTTTATCATACAATTAATAGAAGTGGGAATCGAACCCACTAAACGCTTTGTAGGAATCACTTGCCAAGTACAAGTCACTAGGTACCTTAATTTATTTAAACTTTTAGGTACAAAATAACAATTTAATAGGCTTATGCAGGGGACAATGAGCCAATTTCGGTGCTCAATTACAACAACTTTTTCATGGAACCAATATCCAAATCTTAAAAATATTATATTTATGCATATTTGCATCGAGAATTAAAAAAATTTCGAGGTCTTATGGAAAAAGTGGTTTTATTTGAGCACCAGAATCGAGTCCTTGAACATATTCAGAACATATTCCTCGTTCAAAATGCCACCCTTTATTAAAATAATTATCAAGCCATAAATCTTACCCAGCATATTGAAGAGGGCAGCTTCAATTGAGAAGGCGTTTACAAAATTGGAGTGAGGTCCTCCATGAGGCCACACGATCAGAGGCAGTTGCTTATCTTCCGTCTTAGGAGCCAAATACAACGCTGTAAACGATTCTGTAAACAAAATCGAAATTGAACTTTAAGTTTTTAGAGCAAGAGTTCACTTTTAGAGAGCCATAGTTATTAAATGACCTTCTTTGTACCTGTCTAGATAGAACGTTTTTATGTAACCTTTTTTGTTAGGCTTAAATATGATATACTATGGTTTTAAACGTATGGCTATTTAAGCCTAATAGACAGTCGTTTTAAAATATAATTTTTATTATGATGTTACTCAATCACCATTGAATTGAATAGATTATTTACAACATACATACTTCTGAGTGGATTATCAAAGTGAAATTAAAAAATAAAGAAAAACACATAAAAATAAAACATCAACAACATTGAAAATTATTTTTGTCAATGACTCCAACGATTTTAGCTAGAAACGAAACGTCGTGAGTGTCTCTTACTAACATTACGAAATATTTCGCTAATAATAAAAAGTATAAACTAAAACCCAACTCCAAAAAGTATAAAACAAGATATTGAGAATGCTGAAAGGCGTAATCAGACGTTGTCAAAGTGCTACGATGGTTAGGTATACATAACGTGTGACTAAGCCTTTTAGTATTCTGAAAACATTCTTGACACGTCGAATTTATTTATTTTTGATCTAGGAAACTACCCAATCCCTTGGGTTTACGTGTCCATGGGCGGCGATTGATTACGATTCAACAATCCGCCTGCTCATTTACCAACCAATATTTGCATAAAAAATGTGCCAAACTGGACTTAATGGCATTCTTACTAGAAATTAAACACGACGGGTACACTTTATCCCCTGAATGAATGAATGACAGAATGAACAAATAAATGCATGAACATATGAATGAATAAATTAATGAACGAATGAATATACTCACTGACGGTATCCTGTGAGTCCTGGTGCTGTAAGTCTAGGTACTGCATCGTGGAGGAGGAGACGGAGGGCGGGGCCTCGCAGTTGGAGGTGACGCGGGTCCACTTGATGTTCCCCTCGCTGCCCGCCGCGGGCAGTCGCACTACGTACACCTGGACGACAATCAACGTTACAAGGCCATCGCCAACTGACCAGTTAGCTTTATATACATCGTGGTCGTTTGTATAAACAAATTAATAAATACTAGGTAGCTACTTAGGCAACTAGATACGTATTATAGTGAATCGTGATCGTGAATTTTTGGATAGGAGAAAATCCACATAAAAAAAAAGATATGTATATATGTCAGTAAGAGTCTGACACTCTCTCTCACCTTACCCTGGGCGGGAGAAGACATTTGATGATTTTTCCCTGACACAAAAAACCGTACTGTGGATATTCGTAGAGCAAGAATTCTGAGTGAAGCAAAGAGGAACACACACATTTTTTTTTAATATTAGGCTTTTTTAATATTTTAATTTAGTTCAATGTGTTTTGATAGTGTTATTCACAAATAATTGGTTCGTGTCTATTATACGACACAGTAGAAAATAGAAAAAAATATTCTATGAAAACGAATCAATTTCGGCGAAGTCTTGCTAAGATTTGATGGGATTTTAGTTTAGTTCATTGTGCGTTATAACACATCACATCGTCTTCCCATTTCACACGACACAGTAGAAAATAGAGAATAACAAATAAATTTATTTGTTTCATTTGAATATTCAAATGAAACAAATAAATTTTAGGTATAAATTAACTCAAATTTAGGCCATATATATAAAAGAAAGTCGTGTTAGTTACTCCACTTATAACTCAAGTACGGCTGAACTGATTTAGCTGAAAATTGGCAGGGAGGTAGTTTAGAGCCGGGAGAAGGACATAGAAGAATAGAGTAGGGTAGGTAGAGTACGGTAGGTAGAATAGGGTAGGTAGGGTATGGTAGGTAGAATAGGGTAGGTAGAGTAGGGTAGGTAGAATAGGGTAGGTAGAGTAGGGTAGGTAGAATAGGGTAGGTAGGGTATGGTAGGTAGAATAGGGTAGGTAGAGTAGGGTAGGTAAAGTAGGGTAGGTAGAGTATAGTAAGTAGTGTAGGGTACATAGAGTAGGGTATGTAGAGTAGGGCAGGTAGAGTAGGGTAGGTAGGGTAGGGTAGGTAGAGTGGGTAGGTATTCAAATGACGGGAGCGACGCCGCGGGTAAGAGCTAGTATCAAATAATAACTTGATCATTCAAGTCCATTCTATGTTTCTAATAATTATTATTCGATTTCATAAAATTCTATTTAAATGTAATTTTCAGTTTACATTTTGTAAATATTAATTAATAATGTAACATGGCTGATAAATGTTTAATTATATAAGAAATATTTCTCAATATTATAATGTACCTGTCCCGGGGTAGTTAGACTGGAACACGCGGTCAGTATGACGTCACCGGACACGTCCAAAACGCTGGTGGAACATGGCCAGCTCTTGTTTGAAATATCCGTTATCTTGCCCGACCCTGTTGGAGTAAGGAATATAGACTTTATTTCTTGTGCGATAAAGATGTTATTGTACTGTGAACACTGTGGGAGTTAGGAATACAGGCCTTATTTTTCCCGCTATAAATATGTTATTGCAATGCACTGTGAACATTGTTTTGTAAACACATGAAAATATTTAAAATAAATATTATTTTTGGACCTTAGTAATTAATTTCTAATAAGAAAAATGTGATAATCAGGTGGCGCTAACTGAAAAACATCACAAAGTGGAATATTTGCTTGTTATTTTAGAAAATTCTCTAATGAAAAATGTATGTAGGTATTGAAATACAGTGATAATGGTCATTACAGACCATTTGCTCGACGATAGCGATCACTTAAACAAACAAACTTATCAACAATTAGCTCAACTGCATTCCGTAATGCCTTAAAATTAATAATTTGCCAAAGTTTAGTACTTTTTCTTGCTAGTCATATATCTAATTCCACTTATTAAATAGACAAGGTAATTTACATGGCAAAGAAAATTTAATTTTATTGCAATTTATTTGTAAATTGTAATTTACGCAAGACGTTGCGGTTCACAATTTTTCGTCAATTCACAATGTTTTTACAGTTCACAATCTCGGAAGATACATACCTAAAGCTACTTAAATAGTTCACAATCTCTATAGACAGATACTATACTAACCCCCGGTTTCCGAAAGGCCGATCAATGTTAAAATCAATTTAATCTCTTGTCAAGTCATCTGATTGGTTGACTGAATTATCAACAACCAATCAGATGACTTGACAAGAGATTTGACACCTAGTTAGTTGATTTTAACATTGATCGGCCTTTCGGAAACCGGTCTTTAAACTTTTGGGGGACATATACATACCTATATCAACGACATAGGAGCGTACTTCATTTTTCTGTGGCGTGGACATTACGAGCCTACCGTCCGATGTGAAACACCGGGTCGGCAACGCTTGGCAGTAAACGCCGTGGAAACTTTCTCCATTAGCAATCTGCATTTCTGTGTCTATTATATCTATTATTGGTGATACTGAACCCTGAAATGTAACAAAATATGGATTCAATAACGATCCATTGGCGTCGTTCCACGCGAATGCCTTTTTACTCCCATCACATAGATGGTTGGCAGTGAAACTGCGTCACGCAAAATTTTCTGCCCCACACAGCAAAACTTTGTTTTGATTTTCCGGCGGCGGTATTCCCGAACCGATACGACCTTCAAACCTTCAAGAAACGATCGTGCTCCTTCTTAAAAGGCCGGCAACGCACCTGTGACGTCTCTGGTGTTGCAGGTGTACATGGGCGGCGCCGATCGCTTACCATCAGGTAATCAGTAGGCTCGTTTGCCTTCTATTCCATAATGCCATAACAAAAAATTCAAGGGCAATCGGCTTGGTTGAATTGGAAATATCCATTGCAAGTGTAGGAAAGCCATGTCTCGGCACGAATGGGTCGGCTCGCATGATACGCCGGCTTCACAGTAATCCAGCGTGATATAACCACAGCATTACATTTCACCGTGTGAGTGAGGTCACCGGAGGCCCAATCCTTCATTTCATCTCCCAAATTTCTGAACACCCCCTCCCCCCGCCCAAAAGACCGTCAACGCACTCGTGACTGTTCTGAGGTTATGGATGTCCATGGGCGACGACGATTGCTTACCATCAGATAATCTGCATCCCATCACGACTTGGTCACGTGAATTACGCGAAGAAAGCTACTAGTTCAAGTCACAATGGGAATCATATTTATGAGTAGCGTTATTTAGCAGTTGTTGTCTAGCTCTGTCTCTTACCCACACTGAAGTAAGATTGAAACAATCTTACTTTGAACGTCACGGTTAGCTCCAGAACAGAAATTTCGAACTCTTAAAACATATACGCTAATATGCGCTTCAAAAAATTATTAGAATTGCTAGTAAATAATACCTAATTACTAATAATGCCATTAGGCATTACGACCGCACTTTATTTTTGGGCAGATAATAGTTTAAAAAGATAAATAAATTAGCACTTACATCATCCTTCTTCCTGAGTACGAGCTGGTGGCAGGCGTGGTGGGGTCCGTCCGCCTTGCGCTGCAACCACACCAGCTCACCCCCCGGGGAGAATCGAGGGGACCTTACCGCTAGACCTTCCCCACTCAACTTCCCTATAACAAAGGCCACGATAAACTCAAATTCTACAATTCAATTACAAAGGCGAAATATTTTAGGCTTAAAAAAGCACTAAACAATAGTGTTTAGTAAGTATGCTTTTCGTGGGCCAGTTTTAGCGAAAGTAATTGGAGGCAGTTTCTCTAAATCGCTGGCTACAACCACTGGCGTAACATCACTGCCAACGACCTTGAATAAGGTGATGATATCCATTAAGTCCCGGTTTTCTTTGCCCTGCCCTTTGCGTATTTTTTCCGGCATTCAGCAAGTAGCGATTCAAATAGCAACGACTTTGCTTCATCAATTTGGTCCGTACGACAAACAAGTTTTCGTTAAACTGTCCCCAATAACAATTGAGACTTTATTTTGCACATATGCCAACAGCTCATTATATAATAACGGTATTACAACTTTTTTTATGTGATAGGACGGCAGACGAGCAGACAAATTACCAGATGGTAAGCAATCGGCGTCGCCCATGGACACCCGCAACAAAGAAGGAGTTACGAGTGCGTTGCCGACCTTTTAAGGATTGGGATTTTGGGGATTTAGGGATTGGGAAGGGATTGGGGTAGGGGAAGGTTTGGGCTTCCGGTAACCTCACTCACACGGCGAAACACAACGCTGTGGTTGTTTCACGCCGGTTTTCTGTGAGGCCATGGTAACACCTATTCGTGCCAAAGCATGGTTCTCCCACACTTGAAATGGCTTAACAACTGGCGCATTACACTGTTGTCGACATTTTTAAAACAAACAAACGCAGTTACGCGTAACCTAGACCACGCTCGCTCGCTGTCGCTGCTCGCGCGACCGAACGGAGAAGTTTTGAGTCACGGTACACAGGGCCTGCGGAACTCACACGATCATGAATGAGAAACTTAACTTCCAGGCCACCAGTTGGGACCATGAAATTTAAATCCCTTGATCTAAGTTGAAGTAAAAAACGTCAAACTTTTGAACGTCAGTTTTTGACTGACGTTCAAAAGTTTGACGTTTGCAAGAAGGTACCTGAACAGTGAAGAGTAATCTCATCAGTATGTATTGAAATTGATTAACTTACTGAAGGATCCATCAAGAGTACACTCGAAGATGTAGCTGGGCCGGTTGGTGCAGAAAATGAGGCCGAGTCTGCGAGGCTCTGTCTCCCACACTACGCCTACTACGCTACCCCCGTCCGGGGAAAAACGGACCTGACACACAAACATACACGTGATAATAAGATTTTAGATAATAAGATTTAGTCTATCTTATTAATATTAATACCTAGCTACTCTCGCGCGGTTTCACCCGCTGCTCGGTTCCATTTAATCGTAGCGTGATGTTTTATAGCCTATAGCACTCAGGAACATTGTAGATAGCTAACCATCAGTGAAGGATTTTGGCGATCCGACCAGACAGCGGTTCCAAAGATTAGTGTAGATGAAGTTACGATGTTTGGATGTTTGTTACTCAATCACTCCAAAACGGCTGGATGGATTTGGATTTAATTTGACACAGGCATAGGATACACTCCGGTACAAGACTTGGTCTTCTTTTTATAAAAAAAAATATTGAATTAGACTAGTTGGAAACTACCGTATATCAATGCTCAAATGATCTCCGTGTGAGAAGAGGCCTTTGCTCAACGGTAGGCACCTGTATGCTGATGATTAACTAGGATTTCATTGCTAAGATACGTTACCTGACCAGGGCACATTCCGTCAGGTATACCGCTGAGCACGGTGAAGGTCTCCGAAGACAGCTGGAACATTACCACCACGGACAGGTGTTTACCCACCAACTGCTCGCCCCAATCCTGTCTGTAGATATACTCTTCACCCTGAAAAAATCATTAATTACTAGCTTTTGCCCGCGACTTCGTTCGCGTGGAATAGTGACCTCCTGCAAATTTTTGGTACAAAAACTATCCTATCTCCTTCCTCGAGTTCCAAACTATGTCTGTACCTAATTTCACAGAAATCGGTTCAGTAGTTTATGTGTGAAGAAAAGACAGTCAGAAAGACAGACAGAGTTACTTTCGAATTTATAATATTAGTTTGGATTTGGATTTAAATTCTTATACTCGACCAGCTTTTAAAATTAAGATCAAGAAGAGTAAGTTTTATAATAATAAATTCTTAGTAGTAGTACTACTTATACAAAAACTCAAGAATTCTCTAAAATTACTCTAAAATTCGAAAACATACGAGTTGTGTAAAGTAAAGAAAAAAAAAATGTGGTTATTATATATATGTGGAACATCCATTCACAAGGAGTAATTAATTATCATTAATGTTTTTTTTTTTGTCAAGGGAAAATCATCAAATCCTTCCCCACCTAAGGTCGGGCAGGAGAGACCTTACTGACAAAAACCCCCCGTTCCTTTTCCGCTCTGAGCCGAGGCCTCGGTGACTCCTATTACCTGATGGTAAGCAATCAGCGCCGCCCATGGACACGAGTGCGTGGCCACCTTTTAGGCATTATTGATTTGGAAATTTAGGGATTGGGGAAGGGTCCGGGGAGGGGAAGGATTGGGCCTCCGGTAACCTCACTCACACGGCGAAAAACAAAACGCTGTGTTTGTTTCACGCTGATTTTCTGTGAGGCCGTGGTATCACTCCGGTCGAGCCGACCCATTCGTCCCGAATCATGGCTCTCCCACACTTAATTGGTAATTTGTTATTGCTTTACCTTTTTCGGAGCGGTCTCTCCACTGCCATCGAGTTTCGGTTTGTCTTCAGCCTTCCTCTTGATGTAAGGCTCAAATTTTGGCAGCTTCTTCTCCGCTACATACACCAAGGACGTCTCATCAGGAGACCAGTCCAAACTGCCAAATTCCGCTGTAATTATAAAACTATCACCATTATCAATATTAAAAAACAAGCTTATCTATAGACATCCACTACTGAACTGCACTTCTCTTACACATTAACGTATTGGTAAACAATAGCCTTTTTTGTATGTGATATGTCAGCAAACGAGCATACGGATTACCTGGTGGTAAGCAATCATCGCCGCACAATGGAGTTACGAGAGCGTTGGCAACCTTTTGAGAATTTGGAGATTTAGTGTAAACGCGACGGTAACGTTGCGCAGACTCGACGTTGACTTCGCGATTAGCGAATGTTAATGCTAATCAAAGCAAAGTAGGAACGGAGCAAGAGTAGGAACGGGGGTTTTTCGTCAGTAAGAGCCTGACAATCCCTCTCGCCCGACCATGGGCGGAAGAAGCCATTTGATGATTTTCCCCTCCCAAAAACAAAAAAAGTTGTTTGAAAAATGTTCTAAAACTCACAGTCAGCATAAACATCCCCATGTATGTCCAGACTAGTGAGATCCACGCTGTGGGCCAATGTGTTCCTACTCCACAGCTCAAGGTACTGCTTCTTCGAGTCCTTGCCATTCTTCTCCTCGCGGATCAGTGCCTTGAACGTCTCCCGCGGAGATACCGCTGAAAGTATCCTGAGAACAAGAATCATCAATAATATCATCAAGTCATTTATCTTTTAAAACAAGATAGCATGATAAAATCATTGCTAAACTTTTTTATTTAAGTATAGGTAACTCAAAAACTACTGAACGGAAATTGATGCGTTTTTTTGATCAATGCGGTGCTGTGTTTAGGGAATATAATTTGTGAAGGTTTGAATAAAAAGGCTAATAAGGCGCTTTCATCTGCGTTATCCGGATGGAAAACAGGCCAGGTCTTATTTCAGACTAAAGTCTATCTATCTGCCTGTTTAGATCCGTTTAGCAGTTTTTGCATGAAAGAGGTGCCCAAATACATTCAAATAAGTTCACAAAACATATTAGCTCATAAGATAATAGGACAGTGAAACTCACTCATTGCTAACATCCGTTCCAAAGTCACTTTGCGCGATAACATTCAGGGCTCCGTCTAAAGTGTATGATGTAGCATATCCAGTGCTCTTGCCCTTGTCCAAGTTGCGCACTGACCACCTTGTGGTGACCCTGTTGGCTCCATTGTTCAGCTTTCCACCAGCTACTGACGGTATCTTCGTCAGAGTCTTGTAAGCGTTTATAATGCTGTCCAGCTGTAGGTTAAAGTTATCAAATTATAGCTTACTAGCTACTCTCGCGCGGTTTCACCCGCTGCTCAGCTCCATTTGATCGTAGCGTGATGTTTTATGGCCTATAGCAATCAGGAACATTGTAGCTATCTATCAGTGAAAGAATTTTGGTAATCCGAACAGCGATTCCAAACATTACCATACAAACTTACAAATTTTACCTCTTTATAATATTATTATAGATCAAGTGATGGGATAGCATAGAAGTATACACATCACAATACATGATGGAAATGTTACATCATAGCGTTGCTTCACGACGCGTTTTTGAAGGCCCACTGGTCAAGTCGGTTTTTTTGTACGGAATCATGTCTCACGGTTATGCCAATATTTTCTTTCTTTTTTTTATTTCCTGTTTTTTAATTATGCCCCACACTAGGATTTCCTCCTGTGTCATGGGTGCGTTTACAAACATACAATTTCACATGCATATGACACCCAGACCCAGAACAACAATTTGTGGATCACACAAAGAGTAGTTCCGTGCGGGAATCGAACCCGCGACACGTTGCACAACAGCCAGTTGTCCAGCCACCGCGCCAACCGTGCCGTCAATGACTTACGACTGATATGATGATAAAAATGGTACCGCAATAACTTATTGCTGAAAACACAAGCGTTATGTCTTCAAACTACTAGATGTTTCATGATGTTTTTTTTACTTTCTTCAATAATTTTTATTTAAGTGTGGGAGAGCCATGCTTCAGCACGAATGGGTCAGCTCGACCGGAATGATACCACGGCCTCACAGAAAACCGGCGTGAAACAACCACAGCGTTGTGTTTCGCCGTGTGAGTGAGGTTACCGGAGGCCCAATCATTCCCCTTCCCGGACCCTTCCCCAGTCCCTAAATCTCCAAATCCCTAATCCCTAAAAGGTCGGCAACGCACTCGTAACTCCTCCGTTGCGGGTGTCCATGGGCGGCGTTGATTGCTTACCATCAGGTAATCCGTCTGCCCGTTTGCCTACTTATTACATTAAAAAAAAAAAAATTTTAGTCCGTTCGCATTTTAATTTTGATTTAATTTAATTTTTGATTTGTTAAGCAGGTAAACCTATTATTGGCTGTACAGACTGTAATTTGCATACTCTGCGATATATAAAATGTAACGCTGTTTGTATTCTAAATAAACAAAATAAATAAATAATGACTTATAGTCAGAATTTTAATTCGATTCCTGATTTGACATGACCTACTGTCATTTTGTGAAATAATGATACCACATATAACAGTGTAGTGATGAACACAAAAATCGATAAACAATCAGTGAATCAGTTTCAGGAAGGCATTCAAAAAATTACGGCTACCGAATGGTCTAAATGCGTATCCCATGTTGTCAAAGAAGAGGAAAAAATGAGTAAGCTAGAAATGTTAATTGACAATAAAAATCACAGACACAATTCATAATAAATGTTACAGAAAGTAACAGCGATAGCGATAGCGATGACGGCGACAATTTATAAAATTTCTGTTTTATTTGTTATGTTCCTTCATGATCACATTTTTTAATAATTTCATACACAATTACAAAAGAAATGTCTCAGATCGTTAATTAATGGTCAAAACTAAATTATCGGGTCAGAAATATTTTATTTTCTGATAAACATAGTTTACGAGAGTAAATTTATAAACGAGAGGAATCGATTCAGAAATATTCGATTTCCACATTGAATAATTTCGTAAGGTCACTATTTATTACGTGTCATAACGTTGCAACACTGAAATTGTCAAATCTGGAATGGAATTAAAATTCCGAGTATAGGTACTCACAAGAATGAACTGAGAAAAGCTATAATAGATTCAAGTCACAATGGGGCTTTACTTCATCTCTAAATCATGAGCAACACAACTTTTTAACAAAAGCTTTGCTCAGTCAATTCATGTAAATAAGTCTTGATATCAAAAAATATACGTGTAGGTATGCCTCATGCCTCAGTTAATATATTTTTCTATAAATATACGGTAATAGTTAGGTACATAAAACTTACCTGTGAAGACATTTTCAACATAGCAGAACTGAAGGCACAATGAAATGTTGTGCTTGTTATCTGCAACGAACATTAAATATTTATTAAATATATTTACATGCACATACTCATGCATAATATTATTATACATTGTGTATAACACAAGGCTAAACAACATGGTTTGCTCATTTTTAAATAAATGTTTTTAATATTTTTTTTTTTTGACATAGAAATTGACTCTTTTTGTCAATCCTTAAAAATCATTAGAGACAAAGTATTGATTCATCTTTTTTTTTAGTGTTGTAAGGTAAATATTTTTTTTAATTATATTTCAATCCAGTTTTAGTAACTGGTTATAATAGTATAGATATTAAGTAAAAGATTAAAAACATTGTCATTTTTGTCATGTTAATAAGAAACGAAGTGATGACAATAATGAAAGCACTAACAAATATTAAAACTAAATTACACACAGAAGCAAAACATTTTAGTATGACAAGTATTTTAATACTATCACAGACAAACTTATCTCAAAGATAAGACATTAGGTACATACATATTATATAGTGTTTACAATGCAAACTGGCACAATACTGAATAAATAATCATGAACCCGAGTTTATAGTACAGTCACCAGTGCAACAAGCTACCAGAAACCAACAACTACCTCTAAAAGATTTTTAACTTTATTTTGTTAACATTTGGGTTCAAAGTAAGTAAATAAGTACAGTGCAATACCAACAAAACCACTGACATTTTATCAACTGGTTAACCATATACCTTCATAATGATAACAACCAACTTTCTTTTTTAATACTACAGCAAATGCTTTTTTTTTTGTTTTTGTTGTTGTTTTACTGTCAGGTTTGTCATTTATTGCAAATTCTGAGTACACAAAAGTCTAAAAACTAGCTCAATTAATTTGTCTCAACACATTTCTAAATTTATTTAATTAAGTATTACTGAACTATTGGCAAGTATTGTAACTGGTCTAACAAAATGTACTCAAAAGAAAACTTAACTGAATGCAACAAAAATAAAAACTTATAAGTGTCTTTTACGAACTTGAGATTATAATCTTAAATGCCTTTAGACATAGGTTACCTATTTGTTCTAATTGGAAAATAAAGCAACCAGCATCTACATATTTAATTACCATAATTATAATTAATAAATGTAAATACTAGCTCGGTAACTTTAGTACCTATTAGAGAAGCCAATTTTCTCTTTGTTATCTAAAAGTGAAAATTAATAGAACTAGGTATTTAGATTAGACTCAAGCTGATGATATATAATTGGTTAGCTATAGGTAAGTATAAAATATTTTTTTAAGCAAAACTAATGATTTTAATTATGTATTTACCTTTTTAAACTATGATAAACAAAGCTGACTTGCAAACAGTTTTGACTCAAAACAAAACAGCTGATTTTACATTTATATTTGACATTTGTAACACGTTTAGTTTAGTTTTCATACCAAAAGCAGAATGCAAAATAACGTACCTACTCATAGAAAATAGTGATGGAATCCTCAAATATCTTTTGAAACAGTGATGAATCCTGAAATATATTACATATTTTATTAACCCCACATGTAACTCAATTATAATTCTTAATATCGAAAACAATTTCAGAAAATTATTAGGATTAGTAAAGGCATGCACTTTTGTCCACCGCCGCCGCTGCCGCCGTCCGCATCTGACAGTCCGATAGTTTATCTGACAGGCGAAGATTTTGTTGTCAATTTCGACTTTTTGAATTTTTGCAAGCACGCGAATTTATAAATGAATTTAATTCAGCGGCTAAAAAATTTTGTTTGAATGTATGCGTACCTTTAATGTGTCTTAACATTTGATAAAATTTATTTGCGTCTTGTCTAGTTAAATATAAATAACTATTTATCTGTAGTAATAACATGAAAAGATGCCTTTAATATCAATATGTTTTTGTGATATCCAGGCCTAGAGTAATGCATTAAACTTTTCAAGATTAAGGCTCAAGTTTAAGTCGTTAGCAAATATGAAATTGGTGAGTATATACTTAAAGCTATGTGCTTCAAATTTACGAGTTAAGTAGCTGAACTTCTGGTACCTAAATTACAGATTTTATGATTAGGTACCTAATTTCAAAAATCTTATATGGGCTTAATTGTATTTGTCCTTAAGGACGCAGTTTGGGCTTACCAGCACTAAAGAAATAAGAAAAAAATAACTTACTTATAACCAATGTTTTTGAGGGGAAAATCATCAAATGACTATTCCCGCCCAGGGTGAGGCGACAGAGAGTGTCAGAGTGTTACTGACTAAAAACGCCTGTCCCTTTTCCTGCTCTAGGCAGATACCTTTTTGTGCTTGTCCTGCCCTGGCTGAACATCAGCCCTATAGGGCCTTGTCTGTAGCATTCTCAGGGGTGACAAGCCCTGAGAATAGTGGCCAAGACAGTCACAATATATATTTATGTTTATTTATTTAATAAGATACATCATCAACAATTAACATAAATAAAATAAATTCTTTTAAATTTATAGCTAATACTAAAAGCATGTATTAGCAATGAAGCTACACATAATTTACTAAATACACCTATCCTTGAAACTAAATTACAAAAAAAAATTGGATAACATAGTGTTAATAAGAATGTAAATATCAGAGACTACTATTTTCATCATCATCAAACATCTGACTTTAACCTTGGGTTTTTTAGTTACAATGTTGAAGGATATCTTTGCCAGAGTCGGGGTCCCCAAAGGTTTTCTTCTGAGATGACACACTCCTTTATAGATCAACTCTTTATGTTGCTCAATAAAAAAAGTTATAAATTTGTCTAGTTCTATGAATAGATAGTGTGTATTGCCATACTTCAAGCTCAATCCTAGCAATTTTTTTTTTAATAATGCATGGACACTAGTCATTGGTCAATTTAAAAACATAACAAAAATATTTTAATAAGTACATAATACTTACGCATCCAAGAATCAAAACTGTTAATAATAATTTTCAGAAACTGGAACCTGTAATTAAATTGCAGAAGCTTGTTCTTCATGTGTGTCAAAAGTGTAAAGAAGTGTTCAAAAACTCAAATGGCCTTAAGGAACATAGATGTCATTATAATAAACAGTTTTATAAACATGTAAGTAAATATATTAGTATCCTGGCCTTTTTGACCCCTTTCAACCTAGATAAGATAAGAAAGAGTGTCAGACACTTAATGACTAAATCCCTTCATATTCCATCTGTTTCCATGCCATACATAGCCTTGCCCACATCCTGACCATGTACAAGGTTAACTGGATTCAATATGTCTTACTCCATTCTCATCTACACTTCACCAAACCTCAGAACTTCATCTTTTGCATTTCTCAATTTCTAATAATCAGACTAACAATTTTCTTTCTTCTTTAAAAACTATTACCCTACTCCAGGGTTTTGGGTGTGTTTACAAACAAAGGTACTATTTCACATCTAGAAGCAGAACATTAATTTGTGGAATTCACAAGGAGTTGTTCCATGCGGGAATCGGCACGGCAGCCACCGCGCCAACCGTGCAGTCGAACACTGCCACAAGGCTTTGCTTAAAGACTATTTTTTATTTGATTGATAATCAAATTACTTGATCATTATATCAGCTGTAGCGACATCTACCGCACAATACACTGCAACAGCACTAGGCACGATCAAGTTTCTACATAGCGGTATAAAAGTATCTACTCAACGCAATTAGGACAAGTAGAAGATCCCGACAACAACCCGCTGGCAGTGGCCCATCAAACACAAAACCCGTCTCGTCAGAGGGTCCTCCTCATGTCTTTCAGTAATAATTATTGGTAACAACCTGCATCCAGTCAAGTGCCGTTTATTGGCCTATTTGCAAAAATAATTTCATTGTTTCATTGGTTTAATGGATTTTTGATTAAGACTATACAATATTATTCCAGGCTGTCAGCGCTTATGTCGCTATGGAGAGGATGCAAATACATAATTGTACTGAAAGCTTCAAATCGAAGACAGATTATTTACTTCACAATATTGAAAATGTACAAGCAAATGTGTAAGTATCTTAGTAATATAAAATTAAACCGTCAGACTTATTACGGTAAGCAATCGGCGCCGCCCAGGGATACTTGGAACATGGCAGGAGTTACAGGAGTTGCGAGTACCTTGCCGGTTGAGGCCTTCGACATTACTCACACGACGAAACACAACACAACTCATGTGTTGTGTTGTGTTTCGTCGTTTCAATGCCTTATACAAAAACCTTATACAAATAGCCTTATACAAAAACCTTATACAAATAGCCTTATACAAAAACCTTATACAAATAGCCTTATACAAAAAAAATACATTTTTTTTTTGTATAAGGCCGCGGTATCACTGGCCCGTAGGTAAATGCCGAACTATCTTTTTCACACTCTTAAATTCAACACACAAGCAAGGGCAAGTGTGAGGTCAAGAATACTGAATAATATCTTCTAATTGAAACCGAAAAACTAATTTTGGACACTACATGCTCCGTTGTTTCTGTGACCACACAGTGAAGTAGTTAAACTTTACATACTTATATTTTTTGTGTGATACGGCGGCAAACGTGTACTTGGATTGCCTGATGGTAAGCAATCGACGCCGCCCATAGACGCTAGCACCACCAGGGGAGATACAAGTATGTTGCCGGTCTTTTGGGGATGTAGGGGTTTTAAAGATTAGGGAGATGAGGGAGGATAAAAATTGGGCTTCTAGTAACCTGGCTCACACGGCTAAAGTTGTTTTACACTGGCTCTCTGTAAGGCTGTGGTAACACTTCGATCGAGCCGGTTCGTACCGAGACATAGCTCTCCCACACTTAACAATTTTTAGGGACATGAATTACCAATCAAATAAATTTTACTTGAATATTATTTAATAAATATATATTGTATATTTCCAGGAAAAAACGGAGTGCTATAGAAAGTACAGCGACAAATGGACATATCTTGAAGCCGTATAAGTGTCCAGACTGTGATATCAAATTTGCTGCTCAAAGCACCCTTGATCTACATATCATTGTCCATATGCCATACCCCCACGTATGCCCCTGCGGCGTCGGGTACTATAAACAAACCGACTTGATAAGTCACATAAAACTAGTTCATGGAAACCATAAAACATCAAAAAGTAAATCGTCACATAATTCCTTACCATTGAACACTGAAATTATAAAAGAAATTCTTAAAATAAACAAACCAATATTAAAAACAAATTTAGTAGAAAATAAAAAATCCTTCAACAACAACAACAATGTCAAATTAAAGTCCAAGAAAAATGGCGTCGCGCTAAAGCGTACGGAATTCGTAAAGACAAGTGATAATAAGTATAAATGCCCTGTATGCAATGCTTTATTTAATTCTAGAGCGAGTGTTATTCTTCATTGCCGCGTACATGTTAATAAAAGAGTCCACTCTTGCTATTTATGTTCCGAAAAAACGAACACAGTTGATCTGCTAAGACTACATGTAAAGGAACAACACAACACAGATAAGATATGTGTGTGTAGATTTTGTCCTAATTCTTACACCAATTTCTCTCACAGAACACGTCATGAACGGGTACATGCGAATGACATGTCTCTCTCTAGTTATACCCGATACCCGTTCAGTTTTAAAACGTTCCCCGGTGCTAGCAGAGACCATAGGCTTCAACGACGAGTGAAAAAACGAGGCTTTACCTGCGATAATTGTAAACTTAGTTTCAAATCAAAATGTCATTTAGTTACACACATTTTACGACGAGTTTGTGCGAAAGATAGTTTTGAATGCGATTACTGTCATAAGAAGTTTAAGTTTAAGGCGTATCTCAGAAAACATATTTTGAATGTTCACAGCCCCAGTAAGTGTAATGTTCAAAGGTCGATAATCAAGAATTAAACTATAGGTAATGATAATTGCTCTAAAAAGTTTATTTTTAAAGAAGGTTTACACATAGACATTACCTACATAAGTATGCATTCATCTTTATATGCCATGCTGTGGATGTGGAAAATCTTTTGCCAGTACACTTGGTCCTTACCCCTAAGCACTGCGAATACAAACCGTTATGAAGGTACAGGCAGGTGTGAAAGAGCCAAGCTTGGGCACGAATGGGTCGGCTCCGGAGTGATACCACGGTCACACAAAAAACTGGCGTGAAACAACCACAGCATTTTAGTTTGTGTGGCTGAGGTTCCCGTAGGTCGATCCCTGCTCCTCCCCTCCCCCATCCCTCCCCAATCCTTGAATATCCGAAACCCTTGTCCCCAAAAGGCTGGCAATGCACTCGTAACTCCTTTGGTGTCACGGGTGTCCATGGGCGGCGCCGATTGCTTTATAAGGTGATCCGTCTGCTCGTTTGCCGACCTGTCTCGTAAAACAGGTGATATAGTCTAATGTCATGTATACTCAACTTAAACTTATCGCCTGGACTGTGAAAATAATATACAGAATGACAGCGTGAAGTGT